AAAAAAAAAATCTGCAAATGAAAAGAAATTAGAAAACAAAAGGCACCCTAAACCAATAACTCTGGCCTTGTTCTTTAGCCAAACAAACCTGTTAAATAGCCAAAAGTTGCTACGTCAGTGTCTACCTTTTTCACGACGTTTTTCAAATGGCAATAAATTCCGAATAACTAAAATCATTCTCACAAATGGGAAGGACCCGCTTTCAAACCCCCTACTAAAGCAATCTAAACAAGGTTTTACGCTTGGGACATATGCCTCCACAAATTACTACTGGCTCATCCTGAATTCGTTGGGGTCACTCTGTATTTGCAGTTCTGTGGAGTTCAAAACACTTAACAGACATCAGCTGAATTCCGAAACAGTACTTTCCCAAACTTAACCACAACGGAGGAAACGGTCCCGACCCACTGGCAGAAGGCAGTGAAGCTGAGAGCTTCCAAGCTTTGTCATATTAAAATCCTAATCCTCGGATTAACAGAAACAGTCTCTACACGTTTCCCTTCCCAAACCCCGAGAGAAAGGAAAACTGGCTACGGAAAGAAGAGCCATTTCCGGTGAAAACCTCCCTCTTCCATCCGACGCACCCCAAGAGGGACCCAAGACCTAGGACTGGCCCCGTGCTGCAAAGAATTCGGACTTGCCCCAGGCCAGCAGAGCCCGGGTGGGCCGGGGCGGGGCCAGCGCTCGGGACCCGGCTCCGCCTCTGCCCGGAGCGGCTGCGTGGGACAGCGGTCTCGCCGTCGTGCCCTGCCCTGCACGGCGGCTGGGTCAGTAAACAATCCCGGCGCTCACCGTCGCGAGTCTCTCCTCGGCCATCACGGACGCCCCCACCGCCGCGCAGCCGGAAGTCGGCTGTTTCCCGGACGACCAGGCAAACGGAAGTCGCCGGGAGGAGCCTGGGCAGGGGCGGAAGTGGATTGCCGAGTGATCGGCCGAGTGGCTTCCCCCGGTCCGGGGATCGCCGGTCCGCTTCGCAGACCCTCAGGCTGTCACAACGTCGGGGAGAAAATGCGCGGCCGCTCGGGGTCTTCACCCCGGAAACCTCCTAACGACCCACGTCGCGTGTCTGTGCGCCGCGGAGCAACCTCCGGCCACTGGGCCGGATTGCCAGCCCCACCCGGGATAGCGCCGTAGTCGTGCAGCCACTTTGCTCGGCGCTGCTCTGACCCCAGAGTGCGTTTCATTCAGTCCTCCTTTAGCGGGTCCTGGCTCCTAAGGCCAAACCGGTGGGTTCGTTCTCGCCTTCCTTACAAGCCCACCCGTTTCTTAGCTGTCATTCTCCCACTGAGGTAATCGCCTCATCAGCCTCCCAGTCTTGTTTACACCAGCGTTTGCCAATCTGGTGGGCTGTTTTGCCACTCTTTTGGTTAGAAATAAAAATTAGGTTTCACAAGAAAGCTGACCTTAACAGCGGGCTGCGCTCCTGCAGGGACCCAGAATAAAGCTGAATAACGGCTGCGACCGTACGTAAACATTTCTTCGCCTTTTTGCATCGCTTCCCGACGTACTCAGGCATTTTAAATTACCTATCTGGCCCCTGGTGCAATGCAATAAATGCTTAGTTTTTCCACTGGAAAAACGTGTGGGCTTCGGACTCAAACAGGAGTTCTGGTCTTGACTACTGCATGACCTGAGCCAGTCATTTCTTTAAGGCTCATTCATTGTAGTGCCTGAACCATGAGATGAACACAACACACAGGATCCGTGCACCGTGAGGACCGACCTTAAAGTGTAACAAGTTAGTCAGATGTTAAATAAGTAAATACAAGCAAAATTTATGAAGAAACAGTTCACCAAGTCATAAATACAAATGGCTCTTAAACATATGAAAATAGAACTTTGCAAGAAAGAAAAATGCAAATTGAAGTTTCCAAGAGATACTTTCCATCTTTTACACTGGCAAAGAACAAGAATTTTCACTGACATAGTTTTGAGGGAACAAGCACTCACTTAGTGTAAGGTGACCAGACGTCCCGATTTTTTTTTTTTTTT